AAAATTACAGGTATTACAAAAAAAGTAAAATTGACTGTTCTTACTGATATTTCCTCTAGCCTTCACTATTCCTACATTGTCTACAAACGTCTTAGATTCTCCCCTCTCCTACTGCAAATATTACAATTCACTCCACTAACCTACTGACCCGCCCTATTACGAAGTTATTTATTTTACCACTGACCCGCTCTATTACAAAGTTATTTATTTTACCACTGACCCGCTCTATTACGAAGTTATTCAGATAACTTGAGCAGATAGTTTGAGTGACGCTTATATAACAACATGTGAAGTAAGTCAGTGGTGAAAAATTAAGGGGCATTGGTAGGCGAACTAACAGAAGAGAGAGAATTTTCAATTAGGACTATAATGATATATTAGTTAGTACTTTGATGATGAAGAAATTGTCTTGTTAGAGGACTGTCTAAGTTCTAAGAATTGGAAGGACTCGTTTATCCTCAATAGAGGTCGGTAGAATTGAACGGTATTCTAACGTAAAGCTCTTATCAGTTGTTAGTTTCGCTTCCATGATAGTCAGAAATGCACCTTGGTTGGATTAAAATATTTCGCAAAAAACGCTTTTGGAGCTTTCAATGGCAAAGACCGTGCTATTTGTCTAGTGATGCATTGAACGCTGGCTAACGATAGTTCCTCGAAGACGGAAAAAATGTCATTTTTTGTACCGGAGAAATCACTGCGAATCAAAAATTGTTTTAAGTGCGATCATCTGGAAGCGCTTTTTCGCGAAAAACTTTGTCTTGCAGTTCGTTGACAATTGGTCGCTAACTTGAACTGCTGATGGTTAGTCTTTCTCATTATTTTTGGGGAGATAAATGATTCCTTGCATCAGTTTGCGTATCCGGATAACAACAACTCGAAAACTTTGTCCTTTTTGTTGGGTTACGTGAAGGAATTTCTGTTGAGAAGGAAACATTACCGTCGTTGTCATCTTCCCAGCACTGCTTATCCTTTTTATGAGAATGTAGTCTGAATCGAGTTGTGCATTAAAACTATTCCAGCAATTGCAGACAACTTTGATATAAAACTCTGGTGTCGGCAAGGGAGAGGGTTTTACCTTCATATAAACAAAAAACTTCTGTCAGTGCGTTAAAATTTTCTGCTTTTTCTTCTTTTGTTTTTGTTAATGCTTGGTCTTGTTCAAATGAGGATTTTATAACTTTCCGTCAACCGCTTACAGGGCGTCCGAAAATTCCAAAGTTTGCTGTCATATAGTTTAATTTTTACGTCTTCTATAAGCATTTTT